AGCAGTTGGGTGGCTCAGACCACTGTCCATCACAGCACGTTATTCTCCTGTTTCCCTCAAGTTCATAGTAGGCCTGGCATTGATACTCCACTGAGGACCCGGGAGCGTAGACCGCTAATGGGTACGTGGTAATGTCTCCATTGTCAATAACAGGAGGGGGCCCACATTTTCCTTTGGGCTCTAAGAGAGGATATTGTTGATTTATTGAGTGAGCAGTTGATTCTAAGGGAGCTGCGGAGTAGGTGGGAGCTACACTCACCTCCTCCCGGCCTAAACCGATTTACAGGAAAGGATAGAGCAACAAACCTGAGTAACCAATGAAGGCCAGCTGGACAGGAGTCTAGTAACCAAGTGCTCACAGAAGCTGCACAGAGACTGGGAGGGGAGAATGAGACACCTACCCTTGCACTCAGGTGGGTCTGTCCACTTCCCACTTAGACATGTCACTTCTGCATTCCCGTCGAGGACCAAAGAGTGGCTGCATTCATAACGTTCTTTGTCCCCATGTTGGTACCTGCGCATCTCGTTTGGAATAGAGGCATTTTGCACTGAGGGAGGGCTGCCACAGGAGAGATCTGAATAAAGAGAAAAAACATGGATCTCTAATGCAGCGATCGTTAAGACACAATTGAGAGTGAAAACCTTCACAAATTTACATGCAAGATTGAAAAAAAGATGGTAAAGCAATTTTTTGGGAAGAGTTAAGCTTTTGTATCTTAAATTCCTTTCCCATCCTCTCTCAAAAGTTAATAGACATTTTTTGGCCAGTGTAAATGATGATTATGCTCTGCAAAACGTTTTAGGTCAAAGTAGCCCTATTTATTTTTTTCTTTTGTTTTGCTGGCCCGAAGAGATATATTAAAAAAATATATTGCTATGAGAAATGTCTAAGATTTTACTGCCCGTGTTTGCTTTTCTTTAAAATTTTTGTGGTTTTTGAATCTTACATTTCCATTTTTAATCCATTTTAAGTTTATTCTTGTGTAAGGTATAAGAAGGTGGTCCAATTTCATTTTTTTTCCCTTGTGTTTGTCCAATTATACCTGCACCATTTATTAACCAATGGCACCCCAATAAATTCAATAAAAATTTAAAAACCCTTTTAAAAGTAAAAAAAAAAATTATGGTTTTTCTGAACATTTTTCTTTAAGTTTAGTAAAATAAACACACATTATATGAAATCTAAGTCAATTTATAAACCTAAGAAACTCATAATAAACTTATTATTTGGCAGCCAAATGTGGTTCACAAGCATCATGTTTTTGAATGGGGATTTCAGGCCCTTAGGAAATGAGCAGAGTAGCCAGGTTCTTCGAGAGTAAGTCAAGTATTGACATGCTTTGAGGAATATCGCATGGCTAAAGAAGAAGATACGTACTTAAGATATCCACACAGAAATTGAGGGAAAATAAGAGTACAATATATTTACAGTTTCCTAAAAATACTTTAACCCCTTCCCCCAACAATTTTTTTGTTAAAAACGTTTCTTTTTCAGACTAATTTTTTTATTTTGGTTCTATATAGTATTTTTGATGCTGGTAATGAAAACAGTTTTTAATTCGTCTTCCTATAAACCATATTTTTTTACCATATTTTCTTAGTATACTCGTCGACGACTGAAAAAGAACATTTTGTGAAAATGAGTACCGTATTTGCCGGCGTATAAGACGATTTTTTGGCCCTGAAAAATATGCCTCCAAGTGAACAGGGCTTGTTGGGAGGTGGGAATTTCCCAGATCACAGCACAGGAAGGGAAAGACCCAGAGAGGAAAGTCCCCTGGAATGGGGGGTAGAGCTCTACAAACCTGCACAGTGATCCTAGATTCTTTGGTGAATACATCCTCCTAGAGTGGAGCGCGGAACCCCCTGAGAATGGGCAGAGCACAACTACCAGAGGAAGACCTGAAAGGAAACAACAATTCCAAGATCCCAGGGCACACATGACACGGGGAAACATTCAGATTAATCAGTCACATGGGAACAGGTCTTAAACACCAATCACTTAGTAGAGAGACTGGAAGAGGCCTCCTCCATCCAGACCCTGAACAAACTCTTCTGTGTAAAGGCTCCCACACCAGCCTTATCCATTGACAAACAAGCCTTGACTAGATCACGTTGAGCGGAACAATCTAGACTTCCAACACAGAACATCAAGCCAGTAGGACTTGGGGTGTCCAACCTCATATGCCCAAGAGGCGCACTCTGGGAGGAGTCACTCGGGGTGAAGTTGTTGATCTCAGAGCCTGTGGGGCATCCAGTGTGAGCCCTTGGCTCCAATGGGTGTGAAACTTCTCGCTGGGTTCTCGGACCCTCATGCAGGGTAACTGTCAGAATCTCTGTCCTTTGTGACAGAATTTCCTAATCTGCCATCTTGCACGTGGCACTGCTATTACAGGTTTGCTCTTTGTGGTCTTTTGCTGTTGTTTTTTAAAAATTTATGTCTACCAATAAGCTTCCTTATTTTTCTATTGATACACCAAGAAAATGGCGTCTCCACTCACACACCCTTGAAAAAAATAAAACCAAGCAGGACCATTAGCAAAGTAGGAAGCTTAGAGAAACCATTTGCCACAGTTATTATAGGCAAGTCTTAGACAATCACAAACAGACTGCATCTTAGACCAGTTTTCTTACCGACACGGATGCATCTGGGAGGAGGAAACCAGCCATTTTCCGTACAGGTCATTGTGGTCTGCTCATTTTGAAGTATGTAGCCAGGAAAGCAACTAACATTTACAGATGTGCCCTGCAAATATTTTTGTTCAGATTTTGGATCATGTCCGTTTTCCAAATCATTGAAATTGCATATACCTGAGAATTATGAAATGATGATTAAAATAACACATAAATGGGGTCAAAATAAATTAAAAACAACTATCTTTATAATATTTAAATTACAATGCATAAGCATCTAAAAGCAGCACATAACTTAAGAAACAGTAAAGTTGCTACCAAATATTTTTAAAATCCACATTAATGATATTTATCTGTAGTTTCCACAATTGAAATATGAATAATGCTAAGGACAGGCTTGTAGAATCTATGTCTATGTCTCGTGCTGTTAATGAAGACCCTTGAGGACAGAGACATCCAGTGTCCGTCTTTCTGCTCAGAGACTCATCCTCCACCTGCTTCCCCCACGGGCTTAGGGAGCTCACGTTGGCTCTCTCCACTCTGGACTATGGCTACGGGCACAGGACAGAGAGGCTCACTCACTGCGGCAGGGCACTTCCGGGGGCCAGCCATCCCCTGTCCTTCCGGGGTCCAGCCATCACGTGTACAAGTTATATATTCCCACTTGCTTTGTGAAGGAGTCACATAGTTGTCATCACAGGAATAGTGAAACCATTGTCCTACCAATACTGGGAAGTATGATTTATACCAGCCTTCCCTATATAGGCGTCCATGTTTTATTTCTGGAAAGTCACAGGGCTTCACTAGCAAGTAAAACAAACAAAACACAGTATAAGTCTGTGTCACGGTGGTCATGGCCTCCTCTTGTCTGTCAAGAGGCACCTGACTGTCCACATTCATTTGGCCTTGGCCTTGAATGACCCTGAGCCATTGACCTGTCATGTGTGTCATTTCATTTGTCATCCATGGAAGATCCAGCTTAAGTGGGGGCCCCTTTTCCAATGAGCTGATACACAAGGAGCAGCAATGAGATGGTAGAGACAGAAAACACTGGGAAAGGGGCAGCCCCCCAGGAATAAAGTGCCCTGTGGTCTGAGGGGCGTGTGTGACAGGTGGGGCTTTAGAAAGTGCACAGTGTCTCCCACATTCATCCCCTCACACAAGGGAGCCCCAGGCCCCTCCCTTGAGTGAGGCTGGACTGAGGGGCGCTCTTCTGAAGAGGTCACGTGGCTGAGGGGACCCTGTGACCAGGTCATCGATGCTCTGGAGGCGCCTCCAGGGCCCTCAGGTCATTGCTCTGGGAGGGTTCCTGCCCTCAGGCTGCCGATGGGGACGCCCAGGGGGACGGCTGCAGAGGCTCCTGCACTCGCCCTGGGCGGAATCCCAGGGAGCAGCAGGGAGGACCCAGAACCAGGCAGCGAAGCGGCTCCCAAATTCTGACCCCCCAACGCTGACATCTAGGGGGCTGTTGGCTGAGGCTGTATGTTTGAGGGAGTTTGTTATATAGAAACCAATTACTATTATACTCGGTGTTAAGTGGTAGTGCTCTTACCCAGTGTTCGAATTCACATATTAGAATATTAGTGAGAGAAACATATATGCATACGTACACACCCACATATTGAACACTGATTAGCAAAATAATTTAAAGTTTTTATTTTTATTAACAAAAATGTGGTTTTCGTCTTAGAATTGGAGACTTTGGAAATCAAAGACTGCCTTGAGCCTCTGCGTTACCTTCTCAGTGAGGCCAAGATTAGGACTTATTAGGTCCCCTTTAGTTTTCATTTATTTTTTTATCGACTTCAGAGAGGAAGGGAGAGGGAGGAAAGGAGGGAGAAAGGGAGGGAGGGAGGGAGGGATTTAGGGAGGAAGGGAGGGAGGGAGAGTAAGGGAGAAGGAGGGAGAGAGAGACATTAATGGACAGAGAGAATCACGGATCAGCTGCCTCCTGCCCGCCTCATACTGGAAATAAGCTCACAACCCGGACATGCGCCCTGATGAGGAATGGAACGGTGACCTCCTGTTTCAAAGTCGATACTAAATCAGGAGGAACTGTATTAAAGGGTCGCAGTATTAGGAAGTTGAGAACCACTGGCAGAGAGGAACGGGATGTGCACTCAGTGCTGGGCATTGGGACCCCAGAGCCCTCAGAGAGTGACCCCGAAACAGCCGTGTCAGCATCTCTGGGGAATTGGTTGAAAGGCCAATGCAAACTCACAGGCTCACTTGGACTCAGCATTAGGAAGGTTGAGAACCACTGGTCTAGGTGGTCACATATGTTTTCTATTAGTTATAACTAGAGGCCCAGTGCACGAAATTCATGCACTGGGGGCTGGTGTTCCCTCAGCCCAGCCTGCCCCTCTCACAGTCCGGGAGCCCTCAGTGGATGTCCTACTGATGGCCACAGTCTGGCAGCAGTTGCTTGGAGCAGGCGTCCCGTGTGTGTGTGTGTGTGTTTGTGTCTGTCTGTCTGTCTGTCTGTCTGTCTGCTAGGGCCTACCCCCAGCCACGCCACGTAGGCTTGAAGCAGTTGCGTGTGTGTGTGTGTGTGTGTGTGTGT